AACTTGACGGCATGCTGTGAGAGGCTGCTGCATCCTGGATCAGGCAACTTTTCTGCTCTCACACTATCTGGTGGCCCTTCTCATTTATTTACCAGTTCCAGCTTTTTCGGTGGCACCTTGGTCTTCTAACCATTTTTCTGATGCAGAGGTTCTGGAGGACCTCATGCACCCAGGTTGTGATCCTTGAAGGTCCTAGATATAATTTCTGGATCACTACCTTTTATAACACTCCATATCTGATTTTTCCGAATAAAAGAAGGGTTTGCTTCCTGGGTAACAGTCTGATTTAGCATATAATGTCAGCCTAAAAAAAAACTATAAAAATATAATACAAAGGACAGGTCATCAGTGTGTACATTGCTGTGTTTCCAATACAGTAAAATATTTATGATACCATACAGCATTTAAAAGCGTGCGGGAACCTCACAGAAACTGGCAGTGATGCACACAATATAACCAAAAGTCTGACACTTGGAGGGATACAGTATACACATATGTTAACAATGTTTACAGATTTAGAATAACTGTCTGACTTTTTGGTGCCTTATCTTCTCCTACAGTATTTACTAATGTAGGTGTGTGTGCGGCCTGTCTTCTTATTTAAATCCTTATTTTGGACACCTCAGTGGGATGAATTTAATTTTCCTTTTGTTGATTATTTTGGCTGTGTCCACCCTGGAGCTGATTACTTCCTGGCAGTCACTTCATAAATACAGCCAGTGTGTTCTGCCAACCTGCTCGGCTGATTCTTTCTCTGTGGGAACAGATTCAGACCGGTCTGTCACATTTCTGTTTCAGATGGTTCTCCCTCAGGCTGAGCCCGACACTGCAGACAGAAGAACTGCTGATTATTATTGATTATTACTACTGGATGGATTTAACGCTTAGCGACACACTGGCCACAGATTCTTCAGTCATCCACTTGTTCACCACAAGGGTCAGTGTTGGGTCTACTTATTCTTAACACAGACAGCTGCTGAATAAAGTAAACAGATACAGTAGGTAATGCCTTTTCTCCTGCAGGACAAAACCGATTAGGCTACAGACAATTGGCGACTTTTTCTTGGTGTCTTGTCTTGAGCTCAGTTGTGGTGTAGAAGTTCAAGGCTTTGGTAAGCCAATGTTGTGACTAACAAAAAGGTGAGTTTTCTTTTTATACATTTTGTCATAAAACTACTAACAGTGGCTCGTGGACCGTAACTTTTGCTGTAGAATTAAAGCAGTAAAACACATTTAATCCAAACAAAAGTCAATCTTTGAAGCTCCAGTTTAAATAAAACTAACAGTCTGCTGCCTTGCTATCGGCTCTGTGAGCTAAATGCTAAAGTCGGCATACTAACATTATCACAATGACCATGTTAACATGTTGATGTTTAGCGGGTGTAACGTTTGCCACGTTAATCGACTTAGGATGGTGGGTTAGCCTGCTAACATTTGTCATTAGCACTAACGTACAGTTTAGGCTGATGGGATAGGAATGTCAGTATGGTATTTGGTCTAATTCAAATGTTGATCCAATGGTGGTGCTAGATGAAAAATCAGGGGATCAGCAATGTTACAATTCATCCTGAGGGAATCATTATGTCCTGGTAAGTCCTACTATTATTTCTGACGTGTCCCAACATCTAATTTTCTATAAGACATAAAAGGTTATGTTAAGACATAATTGGCCCCTTGTGTTTTAGAGCTGTGGGGGTCAGTGGTTGCCATTACATTAGTTCCAATTTACTGAACAAACCAATCATGTGACCTAAGAAACAACTTCTGAACCTTTTTCTTTTAGACACGTTCAGCAAGTGAAGGTTTTTTTTCCCCCTTCAGTTTGAGCTCCTCCTCTTGTGTTTCAATAAATGTGAAAATACAGACACATTCTGACTCACCAGGAGCTGCCAAACTCTTCCCATTAAACAACATACAGTGGGATCAGTAAAATAATATGGTACAATGTGATATTTCTGCAACTTGTGAGGGAAGATTTGTCAAAAATAAATAAAATGTGAAATGGAGCAAACTCAGTAACGAGTGTTAGGAACAGCACCAAAAGGCTTTACAGACAGGAGGACAGACGTCACCCTGCAGTTAATGGCCCACTTCTCAAGGACAATGTCAGTATTTATCAGCTGCTACTTTATCTGAAACGTGAACAACAATAATCAGATGAACTCATTAATCCCTCTGCCTGAGAACTGAGTTGTTTTTTGCTGAAAAGTAATGGCTTTCTTCTGGTCACACTGCCATAAAGCCCAACTCTATGGAGCATATGGCTTATTGTCATCCTATGTACAGATACTCCAGTCTCCGCTGTGGAACTCTGCAGCTCCTCCAGGGTTACCTTAGGTCTCTGTGCTGCCTCCTGATTAATGCCCTCCTTGCCCGGTCTGTGAGTTTTGGTGGGCGGCCATCTCTTGGCAAGTTTGCTGTTGTGCCATGTTCTTTCCATGTGGTTATGATAGATTTGATGGTGCTCCTGGGAATCATCAAAGATTTGGATATTTTTTTATAACCTACTTCTCAACAACATTGTCCCTTACTTGTTTGGAGAGTTCCTTGGTCTTCATGGCAGTGTTTGGTTAGTGGTGCCTCTTGCTTAGGTGTTGCAGCCTCTGGGGCCTTTCAAAAAAGGTGTGTATATGTACTGACAGATAGATGTGACACTTAGATTGCACACAGGTGGACATCATTTCACTAATTATGTGACTTCTGAAGGTAATTGGTTGCACCAGAGCTTTTTATGGGCTTCATAACAAAGGGGGTGAATACATATGCACATGCCAATTTTCCGTTTTTGATTTCTAAAAAATAGTTTTATGTAGGCCTATATATTTTTCTCATTTCAATTACAATTTAGACTATTGTGTTCTGATCCATCACATAAAATTCAGATTAAAAAACATTACTAACTAAAGGCTGTAATGTAACAAAATAGGTAAAAAGCCAAGGGGGGTGAATACTTTTGCAAGGCACTGTATGTCACATATGTGATGATTTCTTTTGATTTTGATACTCACTTTCGACGCCTTTAGAAAGCACACTGTGTGCACAATATAACAGTATAGTGTTGTCTAATGTTAAAAAAGTTGATAACAGTTACAAGAATAGGCAGATAAAGATAAAAACAACCTTTTAGACGCAGTTGGAGTGTAATGAGTACAGACGTCCTGAAGCAGGAATTACAAACTCTTACCTGAAGGCTGTTAAACTGTAAAACACTTGAGCCTGAGGACAGCAAACACCTGATCAAACAGAAAAATCTAAACCTGTGGAGAAATTCAGATGAGCAGTATTTATTTCAGTGTGAAGATTGAGGTTCTTTTCTTTCATTCGGCTGCGAGTGCGAGAAATGGGAGCTGTGTCGGGGGAAATAAAAGCAGGATGCCTAGAGGCTTCATCACTCAGACTATACCTGTCCTCTTCTTCTTCTCTGCCAAGAGATGCAGAAATATTCATTACATGCATGAGGAGTTCTCTCTTGCAGCGCGTATTGATCTGACCTCTCCTGTTCCACAGCACATATTGATCACATTGACTGTTTTTTTTTTAAAGTCTGTAATGAGGCACACACTGTGCTAAGTTTCCTGCCAGACCCAGGTTTGCATGATGTTAAAGGTCAAATCCAGAGTGGATGGAGTTTCTGTTCATTTCCTGCTCTGCAGCCGCATCATGTAGGAACATGTCGAATTTGCTCCTGTTTCTTCTCTTCCCCTTAACAAACAATCTCTCCTATCACATCCCATCTATCATCCTCTATTCACACAATAAAATTCATTATTTCTTGTGAAAGCAGAATTCACATTTTAACACTTCCTTTTATATGGACGAACAAAGATGTTGTGCAGCAGCTCGAGTGGAGTGAGTGAAGAGGATCTACAGTGATCTACGCTGGTTGCTTACTTCATTTGGCTAGACTTCTCCAAAGTGAATGGTCATCTGCTTATTAATTCTATGGTGCAGGAGCTGTCGTGTGCACCAACAACCACTAGGAGGTATCTGTGAGCCCTATCTGTCCCAGATTTTTACATTTAAGCGGCAGTCAGTTAATTTAAATGGAATCTCTGAAATCCAGTGGATTTGCTCACATGGAAGAAGTAAATTTTTCAGGGTTTTCAGGTTCAACTTTAGTGAACTCTGAGAAGCAAATTTGCACTGTTGACCAACAGCAAACTGTTTTGACAGATGTGACCTTTAAAGGAAATGGTGAACTGTGGCATCTAAAATGGAGGGAGCAACCATATTAGCTGTTTCATACCAACTGTTTACTTGCACTGCTCTGAGCACTGCTCTGCTGGAGTAAGCTGCTCCAAAAAGATGCAGCATGGTCTGCAGTAAGTCATCACACAGACAAATAAAACTTGTCTCTTGATTTAACTAACGAAATTATTGTCCTGTAGCCAACTGAACTGGCCAGCTTACTCACAAGCATGTAGCAAGGTGGTTGTCTAACATGTTATCAGTTAGTGCTGGCGTGGCTCTGTATCAACACTCACATCTCTGATTGGTGATAGGTCTGGTTTCCCCGGTGGGAAAAATAATTGGCCAATAAATAATAAATATTCACCAGCTAGCTAGCTACCCAACAACATCCATCAGCCATTTAATGAACATTTTATGTTATTTTGGAAAAACTTAGAATTTAATATCACAGTCCCATTCACACATACAAACATTTATCTTCAACTCAAATAGGTAGTGTACGATGTTGTGAATGAAAGCCTGGGTTCGGAAAGAAAGTTGATAACCAATGTTGTAATACCCTTTATCATTGACTGGGGTTTTCAGTGTTGTTGAACCAGCTATGGCAAAGAAAGCCTGGCTATGTCGAACTTGCTTTGTACTCGCACTGAAGAATCAACAGTAAGAAGCATAAACACTTATTGTTTCTACTGAAAAGACAACCGCTGTTTGAGTGGAAAATCAACGACATCCCAACAACCATCAACAATGTACATTCTCTTCAGTTGTTCTTATGTACTCTTATTCAAACAGACTGCAGCATGGCACCGTCTTGTGAAACATTCCTTTATTATAAATAGATCATTTGTATAAAAAACGGGCATGCTTCAATTCAACCATGGCATTTGGACATTTCACAACCAACAGCTACCGTTCAGTTAGCCAAAAACAGCGACGGACTCATCTCATAATGTAGGTCGACAGACGGACGACATGAGACAAGAATCAGAAATTTTCACAACCACAAGTTTTTTTTTTAAACGTACAATTAGAATAACAACAAATATGGTTGGTCCCCACAATAACTTTTTTTTAATTTCTTTTTGAAGACTTGTTTTATTAGATTTTTTTTGTCTTTCAGGTTACCATCCTCCTGCTTTCATGGTCTCTCAGATGGTTTTGACTTTTTTGGCGCCATTCAGGCCCGTTCCCTGTTTGTGTGTCTGTAAACATAAAAACACCACAGATGTAATGGTTCAGTTTGTCAGGACTTCGTTCTGATCCTTCAGATTGTTCAGAGCACCTCCTTTCTGTCTTGGGCTCTGGTGACATCTCCTTTGAGTCTGACAGAAATCTGCTTGTTAAATGTCCCAGGACGTCCTCGTGTCGAAGGCGTCATTTTTTCACATGGCATGGTTGGTGTAGCTGACATAGGTGTTTTTTGTTGGTGGCACTAAGGAGAGAAAAGCAAACAGCAGTTTGGTAAAATGGCACCCTACTTTCACCTCACTGCATGTTCAAAGGCTGATTTCTGGTCAGTCAACAGATAACCAGGCAGTTACAAGTAATGAATGATATAGAGCTGATCTACTGATCAGCCAAACTAACATTAGGCTAACTATTCTTTAAAGATCTAGCATCCCCGTCAGGACAGACTCATATTTTCGCTGTGCAGAAAGGCTGATTGAGGTAACACAACCTACAAGATTAATGAAAAGTTATCTAAACTCAAATATTCATGCACAATCGGTCCACTAATCAGAAGGTTGGTGATTTTATCCCCGGCTCCTCCTGCTCCATGTTGATGTGTCCTTGAGCAAGATACTGAACCCCAAATTGCTCCTGATGCTGTGCGTGAATGTTAATGAATGGATTAATTTCAATTTATGAGTGTTGCCATCACTGTGTGAATGCGACATGTTCAGTGTGAAAGTGCTTTGAGTGGTCGGAAGACCACAAAAGTGCTATACAAGTACAATCCATTTATCATTTCATGTCGTTCAACTGCACCTGGAGCAAATGGTGATGGTTCAGGTGTCATGTGAGCGTGTGCAACCTCTGTGCATCATCAACCCTTTAGGGGTCCCATGCCCTTGAAAGTGCTCATGTCTAGGAAAGGCATGTAAGTGGGGTGGACCGATCAAATTAGCTGAACTCCTGGGAATGAGGCCAGATTACCCAAAAAATCACAAATGTATTAGAACTACTGGGAGAGGAGTTTCAGACTTGTAGGGAAAAGGGACCTATCTCATTCATCCAGATATTTTGATAGGCTGGGGTAAACCGTTCCCACACTGCCGCCCCCTTGACCTGCAGATAATACTGGCCACTGAACTTAAAATCAATCTTAGAGAGACAAAGTTCCCCAAGGCTGAGCAGGGCGCAATTTGGCCTGGAGGAGTCTCAAAGTTTATTTTTCTTCGAAAGAACTGGAAGGTCACTCTGTAAGGCTAAATAGGTGGCAGTTACCAGAATCAATTATGTGTCTTGTAGCTCAGCTAAGGCTAAGATGGTACATATGCTGTGGGACCATATTAGCTGTTCAGAACGTGAACAAATTCATTGATCTCCTCCTGCGAAGAAGCCAAATTCCCCAGATGTCATTGAGGTACCACAGGGGTAGTTTTGGACACTCTGTGAACACAGACAGTTTCCATTCAGCCATCTTTGCATAGGCAGGGGCAAACTGTTTCCACATGGCCACCCCTGTGACATGAAGGTGATATGGAGGCCCTTGGTTGCCTTACTGTTTATGTATAGGCTTTCCACATCAACTGAAAACATGAAGCAAGGCTATTGAATAACCAGGCTGTAAATCTTGCACACAATGACTGATGAGAGGCCCTGGAGGTATCACAGCTAATCTGGAGTCAGCGGTCTAGACATCACCAAGTGCTGCGAAATCTCCTTGACTTTTATGGGACTGTGTTCAGATAGATATAGAGTGGGTAGACTATGGCCCTAAAGTGATGCACATGGTCTGCAACAATACTCAAGTGGGCTGTGGTGATAAAATTATGCTCAGTTGATATTAAGGGGCCTTATGTGTGGTGAGAAAATGTTCCCCACAGTCTTATGACACCATAGCCGATGATACAAGGCAGTATTCTGTTTCCCATTCAAATTGTAACCTACACTGTACATCAACTGCTGTTCTGACAACTTCACTTCTCTAGTTTTCCTCTCTCTTTCCCATTCACCACTCCTTCTCTCTCTCTTTCTCTTTCTATCTAAAACGTAAAACCAAAAAAGAGCACGTAGGGTCGAGTTAAGGTGTAACGTGGTGGAAAAGCAGGAAATCTGTGGCTGATTGTGTGAATGAATGAACCATATTATTATTTAACCAATTTCCCCTGGGGATCAATAAAGTATTTCTGATTCTGATTCGGATATTAAAGGTAAAGGTAAAATATCCAGCAGGAGTAAATAAGGACTCACAAGCATTTTTATCTCATAGTTAATCCTTGGTGACTTATTTGCCTCACACTGAACACTCTGCAGGATTAAAGAGGAAGTTCTGCCTCGTGTAAGGTTGCGAAAGTAAAACTGATGTGAGAGCTGCTGCTTGTTAGATTAAGCAGATCAGTTCAGTCTCTGATGAGTAAACAATCCGACTCCCACTTTTCTGCTGACGGACCGAGAAGTAGCTTTGAAGTATAACTCTGAGCTGTAAACAGTTCGGCTTCATCATATCTGCTCTCAGATGACATCTAAAGAAACTCAAGTCAACTTCCTGTTAAATCCTCATTACTGCAGAAAGGCTTCACTCCGAGTCTACCTTCATCTCCACGTTGTAGACTTAACAGAGAAACTGACACCCTTCTTCTTTTAGTACCTTTGTTCAGAGAATAATTAACAGTATTTACTATAAACTGTCTTTTTCTTGTTTATCAATACTTGCTGGCTGACTGTAAAGTCTTCTAAGGTATCTTAAAATAGCAGTCCCTCATGGAGGAAAATCTATAGTTTCCTATAAAAATACACTATATGGCCAAAATTATGTGGACACCCATTCTCATCAGTTCAGCTGCCTCCAACACTCTCATTGCTGCATCAAATCAAGCACACAGCCATGTAATATCCACGGACAAACATCTGAGGTAGAATGGATCAATGCACTGTGATAAGACACCATCTTTCCTAGTCTGTTTGTCAATTTTCTGCCCTGCCAGAACTGTAAGTGCACTGTAAGTCCTGCCTTTTCTTTTATAGTTGTCTTACATTTTTACTGTGGAGCGCTTTGTAACTTTGTTGAGATAACTGCTATACTGAGTTTGATTACTATAATAAAATGATGTTAAATTCACTAAACTAAACTAAATTACTGTTCGGATTTCAGAGACCTGGTTGCACCATACTAGTACGTGGTAACAGGCCCGTCCCAACTCACCGCTGGCCTCCACACCCTCGCACAGCTCTGTCTTCACCTCGCCGTTGGGCCGCTCAGCTGCCAGCTGTGACAGCTTGCTGGTCATGGTTGCGGCAGTGACAATGGCCTTGAAACTGCGTTTGCGTTTGGGGACATTCTGCTCGGGGTGGAAGATGATGATGTAGACCTTCGGCATGTAGAGCATGCCCAGAGAGACAGAGGCGCTGAGGCTGAGGGAGACGGTCAGCGTGGCCGTCTGGATGTACATCTGAGGAGAAAAACCGAGGAGGGAAAGAGTTACAGGATGGCGACAGGTGCACTGAGATTCAGAAAGACAGTTGGATAACAATTTTTTTATCTTTATCTTTACTTTAACAATAATGATCATAACCTCAACTTCACTGTTTACCTTCTGTTAACTGTCTTATATGATGTGAAAGAAACCGCAAAAGGTTTTCACATTGACTTAATGAAAATTTTAATATGCAGAAATGTTATAATCATGACATCAAATGAGAAATGCCATCTGGTCTCAAATAATGAAAAATGTTTTGTGCACTCAAATTGCGTACAGGTTCCTTCGGCACTAGTGGTGCTATGGAGCAATATTTTGATGAGTAGGTCTCTGTTTGTATGCCGTGCATGTGCGCAGGCAATTTGTTGTTTTTTGCTGAGCGACATTCAGTGGTGGTAATGTGCAATTTGCCAACAAACACAAGAAAGAAGAAGACTGTACATTTTCAAAATTCGTCTTTGAAAATATTTTCTGGAAGGAAGAGAATAGATTTAACATGTTCGTTAGACCTTGAGGATACAGTGAATGTAAACAGGACTTCTTACTTGAAGCCTCCCTTTAAATGGTTTCTGTGAATTACTAATTCCATCCATCAAATTATAAATTTCATGTCCTCAAGTTATTATTTTCTGAAATTAAATTCAGGCTGTGTAATTACTAATTCACGCCATGAAAATAATCATTCATGCCCTCAAACACTCCACTCAGTCCCCCTCCACTCAAAAATAAGTTTTTCATTCTTGTACATACACTTGGATGTTTGAGCTTTGGAATGATGTATAAAGGATGTTTTTAAATGCATATGCTAAGAGTGGAAAGCATGATTTGTGACATTGCAAATAGTTTGTCAGTAGTCAGTCATAGTACAGTTTGCAACTTATACAGTGTGATGTAGAAACTTGAAGCCACCAGTGTAAATCCACTGAGAATGGACTTTACAGTGAAGGAGGAGACATCTTGTGTCAGCAGGAAAACTTATTCATAGATAATGGAAATGATTTAAGGGGAAACAAGTTACTAGTGTCACGACTAGTGTTACTCTAAATATACTTAATTATACTGAATTAATAAATGTTAATGAAGAGTGAGATGAAGATGAAATGTTTTAGTCAAACTTCTTCACTTGTTTAAGGGATGTCAAAGCTAAGTCTGAGTGCACCTTCCTAACTGGCTGGAGTAGAAGCAACACCTTTAGTAACTTTAGGAAGAGTGAAGAATACATTTTTAATATATATATTGGGCTTTTTATTGCCTGTAATCGATAGTAGTGACAGTAAAGGGAGGAGAGAGAGGAGATGACACACAGCAAAGGGCCACAGGACAGATTTAAACCCATGGCCACTGCAGCAAGGACTCAGCCTTGGTACACGAGGCTCTACCAGGTGAGCTTTCTGGGCGCCCCGTAACTGATAAATATATCAGAAAAAAGAACTTTTCATTTAGTTGTATCATGTACAAAGATCTTGGTCTCATGACTCAAATATCTGTCATTGAACTGTTTTCTCTCTGCTGAAACTGAAACTACTTCTCACTTCACTACATGCAGATAAAATGTGATGATCTGAACAGGAGGATTTACTTAAATCATGGTCTGAAGGACTAAACTCAGCAGTAATAATTCCATCAGCCTTCATTAAACCAACAGATGGTCGACTGCTCGGTTCATTAACTGGAATCAATCTAGTGACTCGTGTTTGTGGCTGATAATTTTGTCTGCTCAGGCTGATACTTTGGCTCATAACCAGCCGTCGTTAAGAGTTTTTACTCTCCAGCTGACTGGTAGAAAAGTGCTGAATATTGGGCTGCTGTTTCCTGTTGTGGCGTAGTGACAGATGCGTTTGGATCTGTTTACTTAGCTGTTTTTTGATCACGGCTACTGCTAATGAAACTCAACACAGTTTTCACATTAAAAGCCTATCAGTAAACGGAGAGATTATGCCCTTTGAGCCACTGGAATGCTTTTAATGTGAAACATATGCTTGAAGTGATAAGTTTCACTGACAGGAGCTTAACAGTGATCACAAAAATGGTAAAGTGGGAGCTACTGGAAATTAGTATAATCAGAACTTCTTACTAACTACTTTTTACTAACATATACAACCATTAGCTGTACCCACTAGGTAGGTTAAGGTCACAGGGGGATGTAGCCTATTCCAGCTGACATTGGAGAAGAGGTGGGGTACACCCTGGACAAGTCTCCAGTCAATCACAGGGCTATGTCAAGTCGCCAATTAATCTTTGGAAGAACCATCAAATATACAGCGAGGGAAATAAGAAATAAAGGCCTGCCTCAAATATAATCCTGTTTCAATAGAAGGCCTGGTTCTGTCTGCAGCGGCGGTAAATACAACAATTGACATGAACTAGAAGTAAAAAACCTTACACACTGGGGGAAAAAAATCAGGAATTTTAAGGAAGTAATTTTAACAGTAATACTGAACGAAGAGGGCTCTTGCAGTTGGACCTCCGATCTCATCATTAACTGTGAGCTGAATAAATGTTTTCAGTAGTGGATTGTTTAACTGTTGGAGCTCTATCATGTGAGCAGCTGGACGATCATTAACTGATAATCTATGTCTTTAAAAGGGATCAACAACAGAGCAGAGAAACACCACAACTCTCCCTCTCTCTCTCTCTCCACATATCAGTTTGACAGATGAGCCTGAACGCATCATTAGGCTCCTTGCTGTATTTATGAGCCAATACGAGACTATTGATTCTCTGTGTTGTTATCTTTGTCTGCAGTTTGCTGTGAAGGCTCTCAAGAGTAACTTCGCGTCTTTAGTGACAGGAGGACACATTTACAGACTTTATCCACAGTAACACAGATCCCAAACCCTGAGTGGACTGCAATATAACTCACTTTATAGTCACAATACCAAACAACATCAACACCATTGCAACACCTGAGTTTTCAAAATTATAATAATAAATTAGGTTAAATAAATATTTACTGTAATGGTTGGATGCATATTATATTCCATTTCTGACAATAGAGTTAATTGTTAATTGTTAAACAACTGGACCTTTAAAATAACTTCAACTGTCATCAAATGAGACAGCATGTAACCAGGCAACCATAAGACTGAATTTTAGGTGCAAAACACTATATTTAACTGTATAAAAAGCCATGAGGAGTGGATTGCCTCTAAAATTTCCAGATGTTTCCAGACTCTTCCAGGATAAGCACGTGTCCACTAGAGATGGATCGAAAAAAGAGTTTGTAGTCTGAAAATAAAGTCAGTAACTTCTTAAATGCAGCAGTAAATAATAATTTTGTTTTTATTATCAATAAATACATACTGAGCTGGGACAGAACCAGAATGAGACGCAGCTGCATCCACATGGATGTTGTTGGTAAAAGGCCAAGAGCACCTGTGTGCTTTCAGTTGTGACAGGAAGCATTAAAATGTTGTTTGTATTCTCTCTCGTCACCACCGTTGATGTTGATAAAACTTGTTTCGGGGTGAAAACCAACCGTTTGCTGCAGCAGAAGGAAACATCAACTAAGCGTTATCAGAGATTCAAGCTCAACCACACACACACACACACACACACACACACAAACACTCACACACACACACACACACACACACACACACACACACACACACACACACACACACAGCATGCAGAGCTCAACCAGGCAGAACAAACCTCTGTTTCCTCTCCCCACCCTCCAGCATCTGTCACAACACACCTGTGCACACGGTCCCACACAACTCCGCCTACCGCCACCACTGCTCAGAGACCACCCGTGTTGCCATGGCAACCACCTCACGTAAGTCAACGCCCGGGTTAATGGTCCTCTGACTGAGTGTCAAACCGACAGCGGGGAATCCTCCATGGGGCTCCGCTCAGCCACCAGCACGGAGAAGAAGGAGAGCAAGGAAGGAAACGTGGCGACAGATGGCGAGTTTCCCCCCAAGAGCCCAAAACAACGACGCTGGTAATTCCAACGACACATCAAGGAATCATTATGAAAATGTATGATAGACAGCGAAGCATAAACTCATTTGTGGGCCTGAGAGAAAAAACAAGCTCTGAAGTGATTTATGCGGCCTCTCCGACACAAGCTGTTATTACAAAACCAACACCATGAACAGTGTGAAGGTCAGAGGGGCAGCATTACATGTTTCAGAAAAGAGTAAAGGAGAAAGTGCTGGAAGGCCAACCACTCATTCTTATAAAGCAAAGTCATATATATCCCAATCTGAATACTTCTTTCTTACCATCCTAACACGGGAGCAGACAGGGAGTAAATTTTTCTCATGGGCCTTTACAGTCTGTACAGTATACGACACCATCTGTCCTGACACCCTCAACTCAAATAGGGAAAAACTCCCCCAAAAAACTGAAAGAAACCTCAGAATGAGCAACAGAGGAGAGCTCCCTCACCCACGACAGACGAAAATGCAATAGATGTCATGCACAGAATAGACAAAAATTTTGATGACAAGAATAAAGATATGTATAAAATGTAAAACATGGTATAGTCCATATTCCTCACTATGAGGCTGATACTTGTTGTTTTGAGTGAAATGCCTCAACACCTATTAGATGGTCTGCCATGAAATGTGATACATACAGTCTTACCCTCCGTAGGAAGAAGTCATAGCTCTGGTGTTAGTGGTTCCCAGTGTGTGAGACGAATTGGCGAAAATGAGTTTAGAAAAATAATAATAAACATGCAATATGTACGTATAGTACAGTTAATGCTGCATATGTATGTTGACAAATCCATAACTGGCATGGTGGAGGATAGCATAGCATTTCCAAACTTCACATTCGGGAATCAGTAAGTGGAACTGAAAAAAGCATATTTCTTAAAAACTCCCCAGTTCTTACAAATTTGGAACCAGTTCCAATACCGAAAGACATACTGAGCAAACAAAGACAGCAAAGACATGGATTATTAATATTTCTTTTGGGGAAATGTGTCTACAATGATTCACACAACATCCAGAATATTT